CAATATGCATAATAATGCGCCGAGGCATGTGGCAGGGACACACACACAATTTGTGATGGGAAAAGATCTTATCAAATGAAGTGATCCTATCTACACATGCAGTATCAGCGGTCTATAAGACTAAGTTGAGACCATGTTACATCGAACGATTCGCATAATGTTTGAGTTATACAAACATCCTTATTCAACTTGGGCTTACTGGATCCATACCACAATCTCGCTGTTACGAGCTTGTCGGAGGCGCGGTGAGCTCTATTGCAAACGGCACGTCGTCTCTACAATTTGGTGTAGCTGAGCAACTATTTACTTAGAAGAAGCATTGCAATTCCGAACTACTTTGATGCGTCATACCATGCAGTGCGATTGCGTAGCTTAGAGCGCAAATCCGGAAACTGGCTCAATCAGCCTCCGACGCACGTCTTGCCTTTCGAAGATAGTCGACGACCGCCAAAAGTAGGAGAGGTCACAACAGCCAATCGTCCTCCACCCATTCGACTCGATAGCTAAAATCACCCAATTTCATATGGAGCGCTTGATGGACCGGTATGTGCACCAGGGCTGTTACCCATACCTGGTATTGTGGTTGGGTCGCTCTTCATTGAGAATTTTGTGTGAGTTTGAGATTCCACTTTGGCAAGATTGGATTGGTGCTGTGTCTATTTACGACCTAACGTACTTTGGTGATGGCGGAGGTGTTAAGCCGGGTATTGGAGAGTCATTAAATCATTCTTCCTGGAGTACTCTTTAGTATCATAACCAATTATTTTCTATCCGTGTCGGTCTCAAAGACAGCGTGATTGCTCTGTGCATTTTACCATGCCCAATGAACAGACACAATTTAGTGCAGATAGTGGATATATACCCCGGGCGCAGTGATTGTCTTAGTTTATCAAAGACAAAAAATTGGGAGCCCCGGTGTGGATGAAATCTTAGTGGCGGAGGGTATTCAATGGGATTTATGTACTCAAACATTACACATTTGGTACAGTATCGTCAATTATAGTGCGGTACAATTGTACAACATTTGCATCAGCCGTGTTATAATTGTGAACATTTTTGGGTACTGGAAGATCGGTGTTTACGTAAAGGGACGGAACCTTAGTATACGTTGGTTGCTAGCCGCACATCAGAAAATAGGGACAGTTTGAGTTGAGATTAAAGATAGTAAACGTATATATTAGAATATGTGTATGTAGAATCTGTCCTTAATATATGAACTCTTCGATTAACAGAGCGAAGTTATATCATCTATACCAGAGAGACCCTTCTTTCGATCCTGAAAGGAGCGCACAATCTTCGCCCCTGTGCGTTTGAAAACGTGGGCTCTAAAAAACGAAACGTTTTCTGTGTAAAGTATGCGGCAAATCGGTCGCAAAATAAGTCAAATCCTACGTAGATCACTGTGAATCATTCGATGTAGCGCGGTCATAACTTAGTCCTCAAGCCCGCTCATACCGCATGTATAGATAGGCTAACTGCATACAAAAAAACTTTTCCCATTACAATTGTGTGTATCGGCGCATTGCTACAAGCATCCTGTATAATCATTCAAAGCGTCGAGCATCTGACGCTGAACGCTCACTCACTATGAATAATCTCTCATTTCCTATAAATTGCAGCCAGGTTAATTCAAAAGTCATCTGCGGATGGAGGACGGTTGGCTGTTGTGACCTCTCCTGGTTTTGGCGGTCGTCGGTTATCTTCGAAAGTCATGACGTACTTCGGAGGCTGATATGAGCCAGTTTCTGGATTTGCGCTTTAAGCTACCCAATCGCACTGCATGGTATGACGCACCAAAGTGATTTGAAACTGCAATGCTTCTTCTAAGTAAATAGTTGCTCAGCTACACCAAATTGTAGAGACGTCGTGCCGTCTGCAATAGAGCTCACCGCGCCTCCGACAAGCTCGTAATAGCGAGATTGTGGTATGGCTCCAGTAAGCCCAAGTTGAATACAGAATGTTTTAACTCAAACATTATGCGAATCGTTCGATGTAACATGGTCTCAACTTAGTCCTATAGACCGCTGATACTGCATGTGTAGATAGGATCACTTCATTTGATAAGATCTTTTCCCATCACAAATTTTGTGTGTGTCCCTGCCACATGCCTCGGCGCATTATTATGCATATTATTAGCCATAGCGTCACGCATCCGGCGCTGGACACTCATCTCACCATAACAAATCTCTC